AAAAAAAAAAAAAAATGTTACGCAAATAATTATTTATTACAAAAAAATGAAACAAAACAAATAAAACAAAACTATGTTTTTCGACGTTGATAAAAAAATATTAAATAAATCAAATTTAAGAAAAATTTATAATCCTTTAAAAGTATAACGAACAAATTTAAAATTTAATAAAAAAAAAAACAGAAAACAAGCAAGCAAAAAAGAAAAAATTGTTGCTAAAAAATTAAAAAATAAAAAAAAAACCATTAAAAAATTGATTCTTAAAAAAATTCAAATTTAAAAAATTCATAAAATATATTTAAATGCATAATATGTAATTATAATGTAACAAAAAAAAAAGAAAGAAAAATTAAAAAAAAAAATAACATTTTTTATAGTGGTTAGGTTAGGAATATTTAAAGAAAAAAAGAGTAAAAAATAATTAAACAAAAAAACTTTATTTTTAAATAAAATAAATTTAAAATAAAAGTGGAAAACATTTAATTATATTTTGTGTTCGTTTTTATTTTAATTTAATTCTTTTTTTTTTCTATTACATCAATTTTTTAGTTAATTTTAAAAATATTTTTATAAATTATAAATACCTAGTTCATAAATTCGAAAAAAAGAATTCAAAATATACAAAAATATATTTATGATTTCTTTCCTGTGTGTGTGTATATGCAAAGAAACAAGCAGATATGAAAAAAAAATTAAAATCGTTTATAAATTTTGGAAATCAAAATTTTATTTATTGTTTTTTTTTTTTGAAAAATTATTGACAGAAATTTAAAAATGTCATTTTTATTTATTTTAATTTACTAATACCATTGTGTATATAGTTTATAGTGCGATACGGGAGGCAATTTTTACAACCAACACAACGAACTACTTATTCTGAAAGGCGCTAGTGAGTTTCTTAATTTTAAATAGCGCTATTCAGAAAAAAAGAGTTGTATTGTGTAGCTACAAAAATTGGATTCTGTAAAGCACTATAAAATCTATACAGAATGCTAATTTACAATATAGACATAACATTTGCGGTTCGATTGAATATTATTCAAAAAAATTTTTATAATTGAGTATTTTTGATAATTCAGTTCTATTAAAGTACTTAATTTGCAATAAATTTGATAATTAAGTACTAAACACGAACAGTCGAAAAAGAATTTGTGTAAATCTAGTAAATTGTGAAAATTTGTGAAAATCGAAAGATTTGGGAGAATTATTAGAATATAAATTTATTATATAGCCTCAATTTTTTTTTTAATTGATGATAGTACTTCAACTACTGTAAAAATATTGTTCACTACAAAAGTAACAATATTAAAGCTTTTGCAGTCTTTTTTTTTTTGCTTGTAAAATCGAATTCAGAAAAATTCTTTCGAATTTAGAAAAATCCTTAAATTCCTTTAGAATAAAATCAATTTTTAGAATATTGAAATTTCATCCTAAAAACCTCCATTATGCTTTTAAATAATATTCAATCATCTCAAATGATGCTTTCATCTAATTAAATATGGGTGAAAGAAAATATTTTTTAGAATATCGTGTCTCAGTTTTCAATAATTTTTTCTTATATAATAAAAATGTAAGTATATTGAAAATGTTAATATTTTTACGAAATAGTGATGTAAAATTTTTAATTAAAATTCTTTTTGCATAGAATACAAATTTTTCTTGTATTTTTAGTTTTAATTAATTAATTTTTGCCAAGTAGTTAAAGTTATTTTAAGTAACATTACTGCTACTGCCAACTTTAATTAATAAAATCCATATTTGCTGCCGATTTATTACATAATTTTAGTAAATAAAATTAAATAGGTAAAATTGTTTTTAATTGGTTTTAGGGATTAATATCGAAACCAATTAAGAATGGTTAAATTGATAATATGTGTATTTAAAACTATATTAAAAGAGTAAAGGTATTCATTTTTAAATTTTTAATTGAAATTATAAATATGAATTTGATTTCTATAGGTTTCAGAAAAAAATTTTATATAAATGAAAGATGCTCTTCCAATATGAATTTTAACATGTATAAATAATTTTAATTTTTTTTTCTTTAATGATTCTAACAACTTTTATAAAATGTCTGTTGAAGGTGTAATCGATAATGTCTGTTGAATTCTTTCGTATCTTAATCGATATTGCAGCATCTTTATCGATATTGCAGTTAACAAAATCATTGCAACTTTTTATGTTGTTAACAAATATTTACATTTTTAGTGTAAACAATAATGGAAAAAAAATCAAAGGTCAACGTAATTTATAATTTCATTTGCCAGTCGTATTGTTAAAATTTTTTTGATATTCTTATATTTTCAATAAAAATATTTTAACTGGCAATTTTGTTTTTTATGCAAAATGAAAAATTTTGAAGAGGATAAATTAATTTTATTTAATTAAATAATATTTAAGTAAAATGTCAAATTCAAATTTTTAAAAAAATAATTTGTTGCTAAAGCAGGTTGTCAGCCGTTTGCACGCATTGCATACCAGAGCTAATATGCAAGTTGATTACGAAACTTAATATTTTTAGCAAAATTGTTGATTGTCAGTGTCATTAACCGTCAGATGCAATTATTATGCATCGACATTTGATATTATCGATTTCACACCTTTATATTGACTGCCTTTCCTATTTGATATTTTACCAATAAGCAAATGTAATACAAAAAACAAAATATATGACAGCATTTTGATTAATAATAAAATCTCGTCCATATTCCATTTTGCTCAAGATTCTTCTACAATTATAAGAGAATATTATTTTATTTAAATGATTCAATTATATTAAATGTGTTCTCAATTTATAATTTTCAAATATTTTGTATTCATTAAACAATTTGAAATGTAAAGTATTTTTTTCCTGAATTTTGATGAACAAATATTTATATACAAATTTTATTTTTTTTATTATTATATCTGCTTATAATATTAAATACATTTTATGTTAAATCAAAACAATATTTATGTAAATTACATAATTAAATGTATAATGTTTTCGTCCAATTTTACTTTTAGTCTTTTTTTTTTTTACATAAGAATAATTGAATATATTATACATATATTATATAAATAAATATTTAATTATATTTTTAATTTAATATAGCTATTTTTAAATAATTTTAGATTATTATTTGTAAATTATGTAATTGTAATGAAAATTATATTAGAAAAACAAAAAAAAAATCACTAAAAAAACAAAAAAAAAAAACAATAAGAAAAGATCTTGTAGATTATATTTATAAAATGTACATTATATATATGAATACATATATATGTATTAATAAGAACATAAAAAAAAAAAATATGTGGCAAAAAAAAAATTATTAAAAAACAAAAAAAAAAAAAACGTAAAATTGTAAAAAAAAAATTAACGAGAATTAATTAATTTTTTTTTAAGCTTTTAATTATCATGACTATTTTTTTTTTTTTAATTTTAATCCCTCTATATATATACTATTATAATTATTATTATTTCTTATTTAAAATTTAGTTTAATATCCTTTTTATATATAAAAACAAAAAAAGAAATACATATTTACATTTTTGTAAATTTATATAAATTAATTAATTAAAAAAACATAAACAAAAACATTAAAAATATGAGAAATAGGGGGCTACTACCAAAATGCAGATTTAACGTCAATTTGACTTTTCTAGAAATTTGTAATTGTATTACTGTAAAAGCCGATTTAACGTTATATTTCAATTTTGGCAGATGCCTGTAGAAAAAAAAACAACAACTTTAGCTTCCAAAGGCGTTTAGTTTTGTATTATTTTTTTGTTGTTTTAGATTCGAAAAATTTAATTTAAAATTAATAAAAAAAATAATAAATTCAAAAATCGAAAAAATAATAAAAGAAAATTAATTTAGTTCGTGATTAGTATATATTTACAACAAATTATATATATATATATAATATTAAAATTCCCTAAGATATACATAAATGTATGTATGTAAAAAAGAAAATAATATAAATAGTTATATATACATATATGTGACATATATATAATATATATGTATATTACAAAAAAAAAAAAGGAAAAAAAATTAAAAAAAAAAAAACTTCCTCACAAAATATATGAAAATTAAAAAAAGAAAAAAAAAAACTAGAAATGAAAATAAATTTTTTTTTTATTCAAATAATGTGCCGAAAATTTGTTGAGAAACTAAAAAGTGGTAAGGAAAGAAGAGCAACTCTTTAACTCGCAAGTAATTATAATAGCAATTGAATGAAGATAATTGAACGAAATTCGTTGATTTAGAACTTTATTATTGAGTTTTAATTCAAAGATTTCAATGGCAAGATTCCGTTGCGAGCAATAATGGCTAAAAAATATTTAAAAAATCGCAAGGAATCTCTTTTTTTTTTTCAATTATTAAACAGGGGATTTCCGATATTTCTAACATGTATTAAATTTTAAGTTTTTTCACACATGCTTACAAATTTTGCTGAAACTGAATATTTTTTACTTTTACAGATTTTGTAACATACTCGAGTAATCCGCTTTATTATCCAATAATTTGTCTATTATGGTCTTCTAATTTACAATATTGTTGCAGTAGTTACAAAGAAGCTTAAGAATTTCATTAGAACTTTAAGTAAAACTATCATTTTCGAAAATAATATTTTTGCAGATTTTGTAATTTGAATTTATTTAACCTGCTTTATCTTAAGACATAATATAGAACAGAATTAACGAATATCCCTAAACATTCTTTTTTCGGAAAATAAAACAATTGATGTGCACATAAATTTACATGAAGCATGTTTTCTTAACGAATATGCTACATTTGATTGCCTATTAATTGATAAAATTTTATGATAACCAAATCGAATTGCTAGTATTGTTAACAAATTAGCTGCCAAGTATGTAAATGATACTAAAATTGAATATTTTCTACTGTTTGTATACAATACAAATGATTGCTATGAAAATGTTCTCATAGAATTAAAACTTCAATATTTCAAAGGTACTAAATTATGAAAGTAACAAACAAGATAGCATCATATTTTTTAATTGTTTATTTTAGAAAAAAAAAATATTTAGTTTTAGTAAAATTTAATTTAAAGAACTTCGACTTTTTGGTAGTTTATTTATTCTATCAACTCTTTCTTTTTCCATTTCTTTTGCCTTTTGCCAACAATCCTTATTGAAAAATTCATTGCCTCCAGCTATACCTAATAATCGTGACAAAACAAGGTGCTTATGAAGAACTTCAGCATCAGTTTTGGGATTTGATTTACGCATTTCAACAAAATCATTCTCAATTAATTGCGAATCATCTGGATTTAAGTTGAATTTGAAAAGTTTGGCACGTGTTAAATACGTTCGAATATTATTTAGTTTTGGTTGTAGATAATGTTTTGCTGCTTTTAAAGTTTCTTCAATTAAAGAAACAGTTTCAGAATCTGGACTTAACGGAACTTGAAAATTACTCTAAAAATATTGTGGAGTTAAAAAACAAAATTTAAATTTCATGTAGAATTACTTTACCGGTAACATACTCCTTCCTTCACTTAAAATTATAACTGGTATATCAGTGTTAAAGTTAAGTTCATAAAATTTAAAATCATATTTTATTTGTTGATTTTTGATAAGACTAGCTAAACTCTGAACAGCACTGATACCAGAACTTTCTAATTTTCCGGGTTGCAATTGAGTTTCATCTAATACTAAATGTGTATGCGGTGCGAGTTGTAGTAATCCTGAAGTTAATTTATTTGTTGTATAATCTTTTCTAAAATAAAAAGTTTTATTACTTATTTAAAAAAAAAATTGCCAAAAATATTTTGAAATTTAAAACTTTAAATTAAATATCAATTATTAAATATTCAGGGATTTGATGAGAGTATTTCCAATTCTTTCACAAATGGAGACTGAAGAATGATAAAAAAGAATATTAAAAATTTTTTAAAATACATAAATAAGCACAGAATTAGTACCCAGCTAGTAAGGTCTAAGTTCAAGACTCTGTAAATTCCGGGCCTATAGAGCGCGCTTGCATAAACTATAAGTCACTTTGGGGACAATTGACTCTTGACTGTTTCATGAGAATTTCGACCATCTTTTTTCTTCTAAAATTTAGTATCTTAGCCAATTTTTCTGCAAGATGTGTCTAAAATGCGAGAGTTTGATCTAATAATAATTTTTTTTTACATCATGGAATTCCAGGACTATTATTATGTACATACGTAAATATGTACGCATGTAGCTGAAGAATTGTTTTTCAATTGTAGTTAACAAAACTACAGTGGTATTACAGATCACTACTATTCTCATTTGAAATTAGAAGTAAGAAGAATGCGAATTTATTAAGCATCTGAATTTCTGAAAGTTAAAAAGTGATTCATTTTGGAATCAAAACCTCGTAACTCCCATTTATAATTTATGAGAAACATATTGTTTTCAAATAATAATTTCTTAGAAACCAAAAATATTGATTTTAAATTAAACTTTGGATAACTAGAAACGTTTTATGAATGCATATTAAATTTAATATTTTTGGTTTTTTTTACTTCATGTAAAATTTTTTTGTCGAATACGAGAAACTGTATTCACACAGTTGTTATTGCTAAGGTATTCGGTAATTATTACTTACAATACAAGTTAAATTGTGTATTAATAACATATTACTGAAATTTTGAAGCGAAGGACTTTTTTTTCTCTTTATGGTCATGCTTGATAGATCTACACATTCAAAGAAACGACTAACCATTAACGACAAAGACCTACAGTCAAACCTTAATCATCCCAAAGTAAATTTCATGCTACTTTTACAAATATCTCCAATACAAAACCTATCATTAATTTCTTATACATATTTTTACAATGCAACTACGGTAATTTGCAGTGTTGCCACTAGAATAAAGTAAACAAAAAAATGAAGATTACTTTATTAGAACAAATTTGATATTATTTTCAGAATAACTAAATTTGACTAAAATAATATTTATTGAGAGTTTTATAATTCATTCACGATACAATTGATTTATATAAAACATGAAAGTTAACTTATTTTAAATACGACTGTTTGAAAGGGATTTCATGAACAGATAAAAAAGTGAAATCAAAAGTTGGTAGGTAACTCTATACTCTGAATTGTTAAAAAAAAAACTGTTCGCTGTCAACATTTCCGAATGCGAATTTTAACGTCAGATTTCTCAACATTCCGAATATGAAATGTCTTATATGTCAAACGTTTGTCATAATTCAAAACAAAAATCATATGGTTTGGCGCATATTTTTCTTGCACTAATTTGATTTTTTGAGATAAATTTTAATAAATAAAATTATGACTATCTTAAAAGGCAAAAAATATGTAGCCTTTATTTCAGTTATAGTAGGAACAATTGGAATAGCAATTTATCCAATAATTATTAGTCCTATGTTGAATCCCGAACACTATAGTAAGTTTTTTTTTATTTAGTTACATTATGTATGTATGTATGTCAAATTTGCTAAACCTAATTCTCACTTTTAGAAAAAATTCAACAAATTAACAGACAAGGAATCCGTCAGGAAGATATTCAACCAGGAAGTAAGTTACAACAATTTTTTACTATCCTAAAATTATTTTTACGTGTTTATTGTAGATATGAAAGTTTGGACTGATCCGTTTGATCGAAAAAAATAAGAATTCTAGTGAACATAGTAGATAAAAAAAAAGCATAGTAATATATGTATGTATATATAAGGCATAAATAAATTGTTTATACAAAAAAAAAGTAAAGTTAATACTTACGTAGGAATGAATTGTTTTGTATTTAGATTATCTAATGTCATTGGTAAATAGTGACTTGTTGGTAGAATACTTTCAATAATTTCATAAAGCTCTTCAGTATATTTTTTATAAACTCCACCAGGGATATTGCAAATATTTAAACTGAATTGTCCTAATGTTTCAAAATCTGTGCGAACATATACTGTTGAAATTAAATGACATATTAAGTATTCCGCACTTAAAACATCACCGAAAAGACACTGAGTTAGCACCAATTTTAAATCTTTATACAATGAGCCCATGCTACAACTTTCATCATCAGTTGTACTAATAATACTCAAATCTAATAAAGGATTTGAATGTTCTAATTTTCTAATAGCAATGGCATGTATCCTTGGTATAAGTGATGGTGGTGGATTACTCGCCTGGATTTCGTTAATATCTTCAAAATCATTTTCATCGCATTCCATTGTTGTACCGTCTAATGCTGGGTCAACAGAGAGGAATCCAATAACATCGACAACTGTGTTTAACGTGTACTTTTCAAATTCACTATATATTTTCACCATACATGCTTTTCCAGGACGTTCAGATATTGGAGAATTTAGTAAATACTGAAATGAAAGGCTGCTACTGGTAGTGCTGGTCGCTTCATTATCAGATTTGATGCGTTTGTGGGTAGTTGATGTGGTTTCAGTTATAACTGTATCTAAATCCATTGATTGTTCATCACTACAAGGCCTTTTTACACTTTGAGGGTAGTCAATTTTATTCAGGATGTCCTTCTGATTTTCAATAGAAGGACAAAGGTGCTTCTTTTCTATATCTAATGCCCAATTGTTAAAACCTGGGATTGAAACCACAAATAATGTTCTTCGTTCTCCGTGGGCATTATCAGCTGAATCATGGTTTACACATTCCTCTGGAGAAATCACCAGACAATCCCGATATTTTCCTTGTTGTATTCTAATTTTATCCCCACTGTCCCTTGAATTAACTTCATATTTTTGTAAATAAATTTCTGGATCCAACATGTCCTAAAAACAATAAATAAAACGAATAGTTAAGATATTTAATTATTTAATATTATTTAGTTACTTGAATCATTCCCCTGAAACGGACTATAGACGTATCCTTTAAATTATCTAAGCAAATGTGATTAATAATTGGAACTTGTTTCCAATTAACATGATCTTCCAAAATTTTTCTAAAATTTGTTTCATTTTCTAAGAAATTTTCCGGAGTAGAATTTAAAATCGGATCCATTTTTAAATCTTTATATTTTATAAGAGTTTTATTTTTAACAAAATCACAATTGATTTTGTTTTATAATAAATGAAATCAAAGTTTTAACCTGCTAAGTTACAATTTGTTTAATTTGTGCAAAAGATTTAATTGTCAAATTAAAGTTTTGGCGCCTTAAAAATAATAACATATGTTTGAGATATACGACTAACTCAGATGTTTTTCAAGACATCTGGTGAAAATTATAAGAACTGCATTGGAAACAAAGAAGTTTGTTTACAAAAAAGACTGTCAGGATATTAAAGAGGCCATACAAAGTCGATAATTATTTCTCTCGACATTTTGCAATGCAATATTATTGTTCATATTCTTTTTACTCGTTTTTGTCATACTCATTTTCTTTGATATAAAAAAAAATTTTTTTATATACTGATAAAAATTTACGTCTTACAACGCCATTAAAAAATATCAAAATTTACTTGCAACGTCATTAAAATATGTTAAATAACGGTAAAAAGTATATTAATGCCAAATAAAATTTATTTCAAATATTATGAATCAGATCGTGTGGTTACGTGATAATTTATAAGAAAAGTTTATTCAGGATAAATCGCAGTTTATAATAGAACCTCGTTTTTGTGGTAGCTTGAGTACTTGACTTGAAATTATCTCAAAACTCAAGTTGCGCTTTTACTATGTTAGTTTGAAAAGCCGAAAGTGACGTTTAGCTGTTACATTTCAAGTTATTATTACAATTTCAACTCAAGTAAGTAAAATTTTGATCGACATAAGCTCAAGTAAAGTTTATACGAAGATAAAATAAGCTTTATGGACATAAGTATGTATAAGTCTAATGAAGTAAGTACATTATAATGACCTAAGTTATTCTCCATCTGTCAAACGATTAACCCTTTGCACTCCAATGTCGAATGTCACTCGACACTGATTTTGTTCCACTAGCTCCACTGTTGAGTGATACTCGACATGTTGTAATAGTTGTCAAATGTAAAAATTTTATCGATACTACATAATAAAACTATTTGTTATCGCACCGTTATATGTTCGCGTCGTAAACAACTTATCTCTGTGCTTCATCTGTTAGCGTGGAGCTGGTGGAATAAAACTAACTTAAAACTAACAGCCTGATCGCGTATCTCACTTTTTTATTCACTTTCCAATCAGAATTCTTAATATTTTTCTAATGGGTGTTTCATTTTTCCAATAAGATTTCTCATTTTTTCAATTGGATTTTTGTATTTTTTCTCAAATTATCGACTGAACGTCTCACTTTCAAAAACAAAGTGAATAAATTTTGTATGCATTTTAGAAAAAAACGAGATACGCAATACCAAATAATTTAACTCACTCGAAAATTACATTGTACAAGTATAGGATAGTTACTCAGTTTCTTCTCACTTTCCGAGTAAAATAACAAGATAGACGATTAGGCCTTAAAGTACATGCTCTTTATACCGATCATATGTACATTATGTATGTACGTATAATTTACTTTAGGTGGTATATGAATTTGTTTTTACATGTGATATATATATACTTATTATATATATGTATGTGATGATAGATATATTGCATAAAGAGAAAAACAAAATATAAAAAGTAAGTAGATCGATATAATAAAATATCGATTTTTATTTTCAAATTTGAATCGAATGATTAAATTCGTTAACGTGAAAATAAAAATGATAATGAACTCAAGATTTGAGTTATTTGAGATTTCAAATAATATAAAATAAAAATTATTTCTTATATTTATCAATTAATAATGTTATACATATGTATAATGTTATACATATGTATAATGTTATACATATGTATAACTCCGAAACTCAAAATACATAATAATATTATTTAAAAAAAAATATTTACTCTTTCATATGATCAAAAATTGTGAAAGTATCACCTCACTTTGTTCTCTTAAAATTATCATTCTCTTGAATTATTTCTCTCTATTTATGTTCCAATCCAACCATGAAGGAAATTTTTAAAGTAAACACAAAGATAAAATTTTTTACCTGTGAAATATTTACCTGTACGTCAATAAGTTTTGTTATTGTTGTTTTTCTTTTCTTATTTTTTTTTTTTGTATATTTTTTTTTTGTATATAAAAAAAAACCTTCCATCTACTTATTTAAATAATATTTAATGATGGCTTTTTTTATTGTTGTATAGATTTACCATCTGAGCTCAGATTCAATAAAATTTAGTTGCAAGAGGAGATTCCATATAAACGGTTCGGTTCGTTCAAAGCGGACAAAGTCTATATAAAATAAATTATAGTTTTTTGTTAAGTAAATCGAATCCGTGTTTTTTGAATTATTACTTTACTTTTATTTTGTGCATACGATTAAATGTACCTTGACTAGATTACAGCAAATATTTTCAATAATTCGAAATTTAATGAAGACAAATTGTAATTAAATAATTATAAATTGTTAAATTTAAATAATTTTCAAATAAAGATGAAAATTTTATAAAAAAATTACTTTGTGTATATAAAAAAAAAATTTAAAGTAAAAGCGATCGCGTTGGCAAAAAATTTTTTGATCATATCATGTATTAATAAAAATATTAATGTGTTAGTGATTTTTATGTTAAGCCTCTCTCTCTCAATAAGAATAATAAGAAAAAAAAATAGAAATTCATTCAATTGTTAGTAATGGAGAAATAAAATTATTTAGGTTCATTTATGAAAATATAATATTAAATAATTTTATTTAAATATTCATTAAAAGTATTCAAATGAATTATAAATTATTGGTTGGAAACTTTTATTCAATATAATTATCAAAGGTAAAATAAATTTATTAATTAATAAACCCTTATTTTTAATTTATATTTAATAATTATTTTTTTTTATAATTATAACTAATAATTTTTGTAAACAAAGAAAAAATAACAATAAGATATACGAGAGAAATTTTTCATAAAATATCAAAACTTGGTTTTTTTTCGATAATTTCTTGCTGAGAAATTCGGTAACAATAGCTTTCATATATAAAAATTCAATAATAATAATCGCGAATCATTCAACAATTATTTTTAAAATTAAAATGAAGTTTTATCACATTTCTAAACATTTCGTTTATAACACGTCGTAGGCGTAAATACAATATTAGTTCTCCATATATAAGTATGTTAATGTCGTTTTCAAAGTAATATCGTCGTTCGAGACCTTTCCATGTTGATTTTAAAATATCACACCATTATAATATAATGAAAAAAGATCAGTTAAAAAATCCAATTCCCTCACCGATTTTAAAAAATTCCATTCGATAAATCAATCAATTTTAGAGTCTAAATGTCTGTATCCCATCCCTTTGCTCACCGCTCGAGAAGAACGTAAATCATATGTTATAATGAAATTTTGTAATTATATACCCCGTATAATTATATTTTTTCTCAAAAAATATCCAACATTTTATCAATTTGTGTCAACAAAACTTGCCAAATTTAATTGACTCCAATCTTAATTACGTTTAAATTATTTACCCAAAAAATATATAGAAATATCTAATAGATTCTGTCAAATATTCTTAAGTGTTTGAAATCTTATCAATCATTTCAATTTTAAAATTTATTTTTATAATAGTTCCAATAGAATTAAGTATGATTAAAAATGTCTTAATATCAGATTAATTTGAAGTATGTATTCAATTTCAGGTGATATTTATTTAGTAATTAAAAATGTGATAATATTAAAATTTTTTTATCGAATAATTGAAATTTAGATTCCCTAATTTTTAGAATAAATAGTATATAGAACATAGTTATAGGAAAAACTAATAATTTATTTACCATAATATAGACTTTGTTTATTTCATCTCTCAAAATTTATTAAATATTAATATGTAAGTCCAATAACCTCTTTAACTATAGTAATACAAAATATTCTCAATGTAGTGAATCACTGCAATTATATTGCTATAGCCTCCCACACTATGTGAACAACTTAAGAGAATCATAAATGGCTTAGGTATATATAAAATTTATTCGTATACAAAATATCTTGATCTTATTACTATTTTATATATAGATAAGAAATTCACTTAATTGAAGTGCAATAGTATTGGTGTTAAAGTATGAAATTGTTAGTTATTTTATTAACTTTATTACCTTATGCATTATTGTTATATACAGTGGAATTTATGTGTGATTTTATATTGCATAGTTTTAAAATTTTATTCTCTGACTGAAATTGAACTAGAAAATTTCCTCTAAAAATTTGAGAGTTTTCAATTTATTTGAGATTTTGAGAACCGCGATATTTTGTTTTTTATTGTTCCTTTATGGTATTCAAATACAAAATCATTCAAAAGTTACCTGCTCATATATTTTTTAATAGGGTATGTATGTAAATAGTAAAGAAGGTTTACCTTAGTACGTTATAGTTAAATTTTTATTGCCACTCTCTCTATATAGTAAAACTATTATACGAGTAGTCATAGAGTAGTATGTATATGTAAGGTTTTTATTGTATGTATATTATTGAATTTTTATAATATAACGTCTATAAAGTAATAATGAAATGAAATCAGTTAAAAATAAAAAAAAAATATTTTTATATTCAAAATTATGGAAAAAAATTGCAACATATTAATTTATTGTATAGTTATTTTTGGTCTCAAATTCCTATTCCTATGCATGTACATACTTACATATACACATGTACATATGTGAAATAGTTAATAACACTCTTTAATTTATTATTTTTGCTACTTGTTGATTGATTGACATATAAGTAAAATTTAAATTGTTTTTGCGATTTGTTTTAAAAACTGAATGAGTGTGTGAACTTTTTTTTATCAAATATATAGGAAGTTAGACTGTATAAAACAAGAAGTACTTAATTATACTGTGTTTGGTAAAAAAAACAAAGTTTTTCTTTGCAAAAGCAAAAATTATTTAAGATTTTCGAATAGATAAGGCGGGCCGCGTCGTTTTTTTATTATAACGTGAAAATAAGTTGTACATAGTTTAAAAATCATATTCATATTGCAAGATAATTAAATCTAAGGGAAATAAGTATAGATTTATATTAATTAAACAACCAGGTAAAATTTTGTTTTATTAACCCATTCAAAACCATGATGCCCAT